GCGATGAAGAGCAACTCTCTACAAAATGGCAGTGCTATGTGGTAATGTCTCAGCTCCAGTGACTGGTGCCACCCTGGTACCAATGACATCCCAGGAGAGTATTTCAGAGATGCATGAAGGCACATCTTAGTCCCATAATCAGCACAGCCAATGACAGTGCCTTCTTACCTGGCACCACTCCCTTAGCAGAGAGCTTAGCCATTTTGTCCATGGCCAGAACAATGCTCCATGGTGTTTGGAGCAGTGTCTGGACTTTGGCTGGCATTGCCTTTCAATTTACCCTTGAATTGGGGTGCTGATGCTGTTTCCAGTGATGACACTGTCAGTGCCAGAAGTGCCAGCATTGAAGCCAGTGCTGAATCTATCAATACCAGTGCTGAATGGGTTGATGGCACTGGTGTCAGTGTACTGGCTGCTGGTGCCAAAGTGACTGGTGTCAATAGGACGGTGTTGATTTCTACAGTGTATTCTTTCCTGCATTTCCGTCACTGCTGGACTGTGTTGTCTGCTCATAGAAGAACATGCTGAAGATGCGTCCAGTTCTTTGGAGGTGGTTATCTATTCCAGGTCTGAGATGATGCACATACATTGCTTAAGCAGATACAGTTTCAGCTGCATGGCCCTCAATTTGTGAATCCCTGAGGAGGATTTAGAAATTGAACACTTATTAAGGATCTGACCCTCCCCCATATAGAACAGGCATCAGCTATGCCCATTGACCAGGGGGATGAGTCTCTCGCATCTTTCACATCCTCCATTCATAAGGAAGCCTGGGTCACCATCTCTTGAAACAAAAGAATAGGGCTGGGATAAATAAATTCTCAGCACCATTTAACTTCAGATAGTTGCCTGAATGTTCCTGGTCTTGTATTGGAAACACCACCTATCAACAACTCCTTTGAGATTAAGCAGCAACATGGAGTAGTTTGCCATTTATTTTGCTCAAGACATTCCACCTGGATCCAGTGAGGGAGTCAGCAGCAGGAAAGGACACCTGCCTGCTCAAAGAAGTAATGAGAAAAGTTAAAATATAGATATATTTATTTGAGAAGTCTGATGCTGCTCTTTCACTCAACTTTCCTAAGTGTAATAATCATTTACCATATAACCAGATTTTAAGATAGAAGAATACTCCAGATATCAAAGCTGTAGCTAAGCTTTGAGTATCTATTAAGTTTCTTCTTGCAGCTGCAATATACCTTTGCACCAATTATAGTGTATGCTAGAAAATGAGCAAATGTTTTCGCAAAGTTTAAACAATTACTGCAAAATATTTGTTCTTAAATGCACTACAGTACATATGTATACAGCAAAACAAATTTGCTAGACAGACTGTATTATTTATAGCAACTAGACAGCAAGAGTGTAAGGTTTTGGTAATTGTTAATAAATAGAGGTTAAGGGTATTACCATGTAAGGATCTTTCACTGATAGAAGACCCTGCAAACCTACATAAGGTTAGGAAAGTGTGGGGGTGACTAAATTTACTGGGTTACGCCTTGAGCTCACGGAAGGGTAAAGGTGAGTGCCCTACAGTGTGCGGGTAACAAGAGTACTAGCACTGTCCGCTAATCCTTACAGTGAAATATTAATTTCAAGTATTTTGTTTTAAAAAGAGTCACATCACTGACTTTCATATTCAAACAGTGCACCTGAAACTTTATTAAAAGGGCCTTTATAAATATTGAAATTATTTTTAAACTAAAGGGATAAACTTTGGTGTTACATCACACTCTTCTCCACTGCAGCATGTCTGCATTATTGCAAAGCTTTCATTAAATCAGATGCTGAAAATAAAAAGTTCAGAAAATTGTTCTACTCTTAAGTTTATTTTTTTCTTTACACTAACTCAAGTAATATCATCCTGTCAGTACAGTAAAATATTAAGCACTACTCACAAAATTAGCTCTTCTTGTTAATAAATACATAGTTTGATTGTACAAATAAGTTTTCAGAATGCACTGCTAATGCGGAAGTAACTCAATGGTTACTAGACTACTGGTGGTCTGTGGAGCACTTGCTGGTGGACCAGAGTGTACTGGTTTCCCACATGGTGCTGGCTCTCCTACTTATTTCCTGCTGTTAAACTGCTTTAAAAACATCTAGAAATACATTAAAGTGTTCCTAACATTACTTTTCCCATGTAAGCAATTGCTCCAGTTACCATAGTGACTTTAAGTGATTACAAATGGTACGGTTGTTGTCCGTGAGACAATCTACTAAAATGTGATCTATGCTATAAGCGTTTGAGAAGCTCTACATTAATTTAAAACTGAAATATCTGACAAGTAAAAAAAAAAAAAGATCTCATATTCAGTTAAGACTGGACTTAGAGTTTTTATTGAAGAAATGTTGGCATTTCAGGTGTGTTTTGAAAAGCCATTATCAAGCTATAAAATATAAGGGTTTTCTTCACTTAATCATCAGATTTGTTAGATTAGTTTTAGGATTATCAAGAGTTAACAATGAGGTTAAAATCATTTTTAAGATTAATTACCACACCAATATATGTCCGGACAAAATATTCCTCCTCCTATTTGTTATAATTCCTAGGTTATAAAGCTGTTTAATTATTTTTGCAGTCCTTTATAGCTGTTTAATCGGAAAGAGGAGAATTAAATGACTGTGGGAAGAAGAAAGGCATTAACATATTTTAAATTACAATAAGTAACTATTTAGGAAAGAAAAACACATGAAAGTGCTTTTTTATTCCTAAAGTTTAACTGAGCATGAAATTTAGCTTTAATAAAATAAGGTTCCACTTAATTACTATGCCACTGTAATCTGTCCTCCAATTTGCCCCAATGGCTACAGACAGCAGCTGACAGATAAGGATTTTTTTAATGAAATTTGCAAATGAATATTTCTTTGTCAAAAAGCATATATAATATCCAGAAGAAAGTTAAGAAATGTATCTCCGAAAAACAATCCCTTATACAATAAATCCATACTAACTCACTCTGCAGTCACTTGTATGTACATAAATTAATTTTAAACTCAACTTTATGCCTGTTTTAACATGCCATATTTTCCAAGTGTAATATGAGTGTTCCCCAACCCCTAAAGCTTTATACTCTGCATTCTGCCAATCTGAACAGTGATCTATTGAGTAAATGATCACAACATGACCCATTTTTGAAAAGCAACAAACACATTAGTAAAGGTGTTTTTGGTTGGAGGGTTAATTATTTGCTTTTGTGCATTTTTGCTATCGTTTTTACATTTTCAGATGAACACAAATTTTAAAAATTATTAGATTACTTCATTTCATGGTCATGCAAAATTAGACTGGTTTTCACTGGCTCTATGTAGTGATATTTGAAAAGTAAACATACTTTCATACAAATTCAGAAGGGAAAAACATAAAACACAGTTATCTACTGCTCAGGACCATCATGGGTTTTTCTTGAACAGAGAGGCATTGACTAGTCTCTTGCTAACCACACACGCAGTGAGCAACAAGGAAACCTTATTCCTGCTGCCCTGCACTTCTCTCCAATTGGAGAAGGAACCCACCAGCCAGGCTAAGACTGGGCTAGGGCAGGAGCCCGCTCCGTGCAACCCTCTCTCCTCCCAACGCCCAATTTCAGACCAAGCCCTTCCTCGGGCAAAACTCCCGTTGACTTTAGCTGGAGCTCTGCTCGACTGACGAGGGTACACATTCACTAAGGAGGGGATGCAAGTGCAGATCTGTTGAACCCGCTCCTTCAATGTGCCCGATCCCAATCGCTTGCGTGAAGCTCCTGCCCTAGATCGAGAGCAGCAGCGGTCCCCGCGAGCGCATTTAGGCGCCGCCGCTGCTGGGAAGAAGGAGGATATTCCCGGCGGGCTGCTCCAGCAAAGGGAGGTGTGTCCTAGTCACAGCCCCTGTCAAACGCTCACACCCGCACCGAGGCGATCCTGGGGCCCCCGCAACAAACGGGGCTGTGCGCCCGGTGGAGAGGCAGCAGCTAGGCTCGGGGAGGAGACACGCCCGGCATTTCTCAGCGCTGATCCCCCGGCTCAGGGACAGGGAGATGCACAGATAACGGGGCACCAGCCAGGGGAGCAGCAGCAGCTGCTGCTTGGGCACCCTCCCGCTCTGCCCCTGCCGAGGCTGCGTGCGATGAGCAGTGCCAAGGATGCAGCGTAGCCATCGCTGCTGCGCTTCAGTCCTGGCGCCCCAGGAGCGGGGCTAGGCAGGACCGAGAGCTCAAGCCCCGGGACGCCACGAACTAGCGGGAGGCCGCTTACTGAACCGGGGGGAAGCAGAGTCTCCCCCTCCTCGCGGCTGCTCTTTTACCCCCGAAGCGCCTGGACTTGGGTTGGGAGGGAAGAGGCCGGGATGGAGCCCCCCGCACCCGCTGGACTTCAGTCCCTCACCAGCCGGAGCGCCTGGGCTCGGGCTGGCCAATGCTGCTCCCGCTTTGCCCAAGCGCAGGAGCACGAACCAGGGTGCAGGGGGCGGGAAGATCCCTGGCTCCCCTCTAGCCCTGCCCCAGCTATTGGGGACACACCCACCCCCGCTGCCTCCCGTTTTCTGTCTGGGGACTGGGGGCGCGCACCGATGCCCTGAGCAAGAGGCGGCAGCAGCAAAGCCCCTGCCCGGGTTGGGGCATCTGCTGCTCCCCGCACAACACACCGGGGACAGACACACACACACACACACGCACCCCGTCCGGTGCGGGGCGCAGCCGGGCCAGCGCCAATACCTGCCCCGATAGGCGCCGCCGAGCCCGGGGGGGAAGCGCGGGAGACAGCGATGATGGGCAGCGGGAGAGGCCGGGAGGCGGCTTTGGAGCCTGAGGAGAGAAAAGACCCGGCCAGACCCACCGTCTCCACCGGGGGCCTCTGCAGGCGGCGCAGCTCCACGCGTCCCCCAGCCGCCCCCCGCCAATGAGCCGGGGGAACAAGGGGGCAGCGTCCCCGCTTCTCCACCCCCTTCCCCGGCCAGCCCTAGGGTGGGTCTCTCGCTTCCTCCCCGCAGCCCAGGGCGCCGCGAAGCCCCCGCCGCCACTCACCGGGCTGGGGGGCGAGCCGCCCGCTTCCTCGCGCGCCGCCGGCGGCTCGTGGGTCTGTCAAGCAGCGCGCAGCCCCCGCCGCCGGGATTCACGCCGCCGCCGCCGCCATGTTAGTGGGGCGCCCGCGCATGCCCGCCAGCCGCACTGGGGGCTGCCGCCGCCTCCCCACCACAGCCCGCGCGAGGGGGCAGCCGCCTGCCGCAGGCGCTGGGTGCAAGCCCGCCCCTGTCAACGGCAAAGCGCCTGTTTGCTTCAGGCTTTCTTGGGTCTATCTACCGGGCGCGCTCAGCCCCGCCTGGGACTCAGGTTTGAGCCCGAGCGCCCCACGTCTGGCCACACACAGTCACTCTGGCCCGGGCTCTAAGGAGCCTGCTGGAAGCGTCAGTGCCCGAGTCCCGCAGTGACTGGGGTCTAAGCTCTGTCACTTTGTAGTCTGGACCTGAGTCAAGCGTGGCTGTGAGCCAGCAACCGGAAACCTAGTGAGGAATAGATGCTCAAGCCCAGGCTTGGTAATATAGGTGACCAGACAGCAAGTGTGAAAAATTGGGACAGGGCGTGGGGGGTAATAGGAGCCTATATAAGAAAAAGCCCCAAATATTGGGACTGCCCCTATAAAATTGGGACATCTGGTCACCCTACTTGGCAATGGCAAGTCCACAAGCCTGGATCCCACAAACTCCAGTTTACAGTGCATTTTATGGCAATGAAACCACCAGGGCTGATTCAGGCTCCTGGGATTTCAGCTGCAGAACTATAAAACGGCAATGTAGCCCTTCAACTCCAACTAAAGCCCAGACTTTAGGACCCAGCCAGAGAGGTGGGTCTCTGAGCAGCTACATTGCTATTTTTAGCCCCAAAGTCTAAGCCTCACAAGCCCAAGTCAATTGACCTGGGTTCTGAGACTTAGTGCTGTGGGTTTTTTAGACCCAAGAAGCATAAGGATGCTAAACCTCCCCCTGCAGTTATTCTGCAGGCATCATTGAATGTGTATGTGCAGAGGCGGCCCATCCATATAGGCAAACTAGGCAGTCGGCTAGGGTGCCACATTAAATGGGGCACTAAATTAGAGGAAAAAATTCAACTTAAACAAATTTAAAATGAAAAAAAATACAAATGAAACACAGATTTCATTATTTCAATTCCCATCTGTGTATGGAGGGAATATGAATTATAATTCATTTCTCTGCATTTCTGAGAATTTATTTATATAAGTAAATCTTTTATTTACTGCAAAAATAAATTAGTGAATTTTTTTTCAATTTGCAACATAGGGTCAAGATGACCCACTCCCCAATTTTGATAAGCAGTAACTCAGCCACAATGAAACATCTGCCAGCAGCAAGAGCTGCAATGTTAGTGACACCTAACTCGCATATACATCAAGGTTGCATAGCTGGAAATTCATGTAGAGCAGAGATATCGTGAGTTGATACATGTCAAACGGTCATTTTAACACACATTGCAGGTAGATGGTTAAGCATCGAGCACATGCTGTGGAAAAAAATGTATCTCCGAAAAACAATCCCTTATACAATAAATCCATACGTCTTTCAGCCAGGGCCAGCTCTAACATTTTTGCCACCCCAGGCAAAAAAAAAAAACACCCTGAGTGCCCCCTGCCACCGCAAGATTGGCCGCCCCTTCCAAGGTGCTGCCCCAAGCACGTGCTTGGTCGGCTGGTGCCTGGAGCCGGCCCTGCTTTCAGCATTATAAATCCAAAATGTGAGTATCTTTAAGTGTTAAACCTTAGTGTTATTAGTGGGCTGTATAATTATGAACTTTTCTTTGTTATAACTGGTTCACATGTAATAAATAAGGTCCATAAAAGAAAAGTAACAGTGTTAATGCTTAATAGACTACAATGATGTCACACTCTAAGTGATGACATCACACTCCAAGCAGGTAACCGTGAGGAAAGGGATTACTTTCCAAACAACCGGTGTCGGGTTATAATGTCGAAAAAGGTCATTTTGTTTCCATGTAAACGCTGTAACTAACTGTTTTAATAGGTAAGTGAGTGTAGGTTACTAATCTGCATGTTTTAAGATCACAGAGTGTTTCTTATTCAGAGTGTTTTGTAAATACAGGTTAAAATTCACTGAAGAGTTTTCTTATTTCTTTCGATATTGGATGTGATGATAATGGCAGTTAAAGCAGGATAGCGTAATGGATGATTTTGGATTTGTAATAAAAATAATTAACATTTTTAATGCATTTTTATTTGAAATCAGACTGAAATATCTAGCTGTTGTACACAAATCTATTCTGACAATTTTGTCTCTATTTTATCTGATCTCAGAAACATTGGTTGGACAGATGGACAAACCGAATAATTAAGCCTCTGTTTAAAAAAAAAAAAAAAGTGTAAAAAATATTAAAAGGAAAAAAAGGGGCAAAATGTTTCCCAGTTTACCAAAAAGCTTCGGGTTTGGGGATGAGGGGTGCCGATTGCATGATTTGCCTAGGGCGCCGGTTGCTGGCAGCTAATCTAGGGCACACACACACACTTCTAGAGGGTGTAAAAATTAGTGTAATATATCACAAACACAAAAAACTAGGTTAAATGACCATTATTATGATTGCAAAGTCAAGCACTCAAAAGTTAGTAAATGCCAGTATTAAGGCTTCCTGTTCAACCCAATTCTTTAATTAAATACTATTTTTTCCACAGGACCCTTGCTCATTTAGTGTAAAGGATGGACAGTGCTCACTTAATGAACAGCTATTCATATTTTATTTTCTCACTGTTAAACACATGCCTTATTTATTGCACACTACTCAAACCATGTTGGGAAAACAGAATTATTAGCCTCTTCATGGACTTTTCTATGATGCTAATCACAATAATATCTAAGTTCTTCGCAAACATTCATTAATTTATTTTCAAAATACAATTACCCTTGAGATGAGGGAGCATTATCATCCCCATTTTACAGATGGGGAACTGAGGCACAGAGCACTTAAGATAAAAAGTTTCCACTAATTTTGGGTCCCTAATTTGAGACACATAGCAGCTGATTTTACAGAGTACATACGCTCAAAGCACAGCTTCAATTGACTTCATTTGAAGCTGTGAGTGATCACCACTTAGGCAAATCAAACCCAGGTCTTAAGTTGGGTACTCAGAAAATAAGAAACACATTTAGTGAAAACCTCTGAAAAGTTTGGGTTTAGTGACTTACCTAGAGTCAGATAGGAACTCTGTGGCACAGGTAAAGATAGACTCCAGTTCAGAGTGGATTGATTTAAATCACTTATTTTAATCATGATTTAAATCAGCCAGGAGGAAACTTTGATTTAAATAATCAATTTTAATCAAGTTTTGCATTTGTATTTTTTTATTTTCCTAAAGAAAGATTTATTCTCATTGATTGGTAACTGTTAAAACATGCTGATTTGCAACTACATATAGCCTTTCTACTAAATATTGTGCTTCTTTTTGCTAACTGAGATTACAATATATCCATACACATTTATTTAGGCAATCATATAGCTTAACTTAATTAAAAATAAGAATCTTAAATGTATTTTAGAAAATGATTAATGATGCATTTCTTATTTACTGATTGATTAATTTCCTACTCGTCATTTGCATCAAGCTACATGTGGATGGAATTCAAATTAAAATGCACAATACAGTATTTAATTTTTGTATTAAATAAAATTACCCCAAATATGCTGGAAGTGTAAGAAAAATTTGTATCAAAAAGTTTCTGAACATTATTTGATAAATCAGTTAGCAAAACAAGGAAAATATTACCTATAGTTAGTATATTCAACTGATTATTTCTGATCACTATATCCTTCATGATTTTAGAAATAATAGATCTCATCCTCTCACACCTAGTTTTTATTCACAAATTGGTAGAGAAAACAAAGTTTCATACTTTTTCAAATCCCAATTGTTTTCTCAAATTTGAATGAACTATAGCCATTTAACTGACTAAATGAACTGAATAAAATGAAATGAAGAAATATTAGTTCCAGTGCACCTGCAGAAGAGGCTACTGTTGTCAAAAGTTGGGTTAACACTTCCACAAAGCCTGGTGCTTTCCCAGGTGCTTTTCCAGTGACTTCAAGTAGTTCAGTGGTTTGACTTTAAATTATTTTAATAAAGTATGTTATTTTCAGGTCTTAACAACGGTTGTCAATTTCAAATTAAATTTTGAATGGGTTTATTTAAATAACTACACCTCTACCCCGATATAACACGACCCGATATAACACAAATTTGAATATAATGCGGTAAAGCAGTGCTCTGGGGGGGCAGGGCAGGGTAGGGCTGCGCACTCTGGCGGATCAAAGCAAGTTCGATAGAACGTGGTTTCACCTATAACACGGTAAGATTTTTTGGCTCCCGAGGACAGCGTTATATCGGGGTAGAGGTGTATTTAGTTTAAAACAATATTTAAATGTATGTAAATCAAAATTTTAAATTTAATTTAAAAAACCCAGATTTTTATCCATCCTGATCCTATTTTCCAGGTTAGTTTTAACCATGAGACCATTCTCTCTTCTTCCTGCAATCTCTTGTCTCATTCACAACACTCATTTCTACTTTAGCACCCCTGTTTCATCTGTTGCAACAGACAAGAGTCTCCTTCGTTACACAACCCTGATTCATCCCCAGAGCAGGGCTATCTGTAAACTAAATGAAGAAATAGTAGGTGATCATGTAATTAAAGACTGTACAAGGGAGTCAACTAAATCTGTACAGGCAGCCTTAATTCTGGCATATCCTAACTTTTGAGTGTTAGGCTTCATTCCTTCATGTGGCATCATAGTGAAACCCACATGGTTCATCAGCAGGACGACTGGAACATTTTTTCCCATTGCACAGATTTCTGCCCCTTGAGCCAAGGGACTAACTGATAGCAGTAGTAGATTTTCATTCTCTGTGTTGACCAGTGCTAGAGAGGGATGGGTCACTCTGCCAGTGGGTTTCCCAGATACTTGCTGACAGCAGAGGAATTGTGAACCTCAGGAAACCCGGGTTCCATTCCAGGCTCTAAAGGAAAGTGTGCTCTAATGGGCACAGACCTTTCTGCCGGTTCCCCTCCAAGCTTTACCCTTCTGTCCCGTCCCAGTCCTGTCTCTTCCTCACCTTTGACTCATTATCCTAGTCCCATTCTTATTGCATGCCCAGTCCCAATCTCCACTCCTAAGGCTTCTCATCTCAGCCCCAATCTCTTTGCCCAGCCAGTTCTAGTTTCCCACTCCAGGCTTCCCATCTGAGTCCATCTCTCTTGCCCACTCCTAGTAGAGTCTTCTTGCCAAGCCAGTCTCAGCTCAACCATCCCACCCCCACTCCTCATCCCCTGGCTCCTTGCCCAACCAGTCCCAGCTCCCAAACACAATCCTTGTCTT